TAATTTTTATATAGTTATTAATATTTTTAGTATATATAATTTTTAATTTGTCATTAAATTTTATTTATTTTAATCTTTATATTTAACAAAACTAGTATATTTTTTTTATCTCTTGTCAAGGACTAAAAGTATATATATTTTGTAGGAACTAAATGCAAATAAAATTTAATTAAAATCTAAAAAATTTATAGAGACTAAAAATATATTTAATCTTATATTATATTGACAAATAATTTAATTAATATATATATATATATATATATTATGTATTACTAATTTTTATTAAATAAAAATGATATCAACAAAATTATTTCAACGTTTAATATTTATTCATTAAACGTCATCACATGTGTTTGTGTCTTCCACGAAATATTAATTAAAATTTATTAAAAAATATTTTACTTAACATTTCTTCTGCATATAACGAAACAATACCAATGTGCTATGAGTAATTAGCGCTAATTTAATTGTAGAACCACTGCAAATACGCTAACTAAATTAGTGTTTATATTTTAGTATAGATTGCCAAATGTGGAAGATTCTTATGCTGCTATTAATAGAATTTCAAAAAGTAATTTTCATTTTTGAAGTAATAAAATTAATGCTAATATTGTAGATGTAAAGCTTGTATACTTTTTAAAAATGGACTTACAATTACATTTTTAACATAGTTTTATTTTTCTAGTTTAAAGAAAAATGACTTTTAAATTATTTTTTAATCCATTAATTTAAATATAATTTTTAATATCAATTTTTTAGTTTTGTTTTTTTAAAAAAAAAACGGGTTTGAAAGTCAAAGATGAAAAGAAAAATAATAATAAAATTAAGCGATCCGAAGAAGATGTTTGCATCCTTATTTTTATTAATACAAGCATAAGAAAAGATGAGCATTGAGCCAAAATATTAAAATAAAAGATAAACAACAGTTTATATCATTTTTAATTGCAAACGTGACAATGAAATGCGTTTAAATTTTAGCTAATCAGAACTATATTTATATTCAACTAATTTTTTTCTTTTATAATGCGCACATATTTTTAAATTAAATTAAATTCTTAAATAAAAAATTAATTAATGGATATTTTATTATTAATAATGAATATTCTATTACATTAAATATAGTTAAATTAAAGATGTTAATTTTTTTAAATTGATGAAAACATTACTCGAATAAGTTCTTAAAATTAAAACATATAATCAGTCAGTCAAAATTTTAAAATTAAAATTGTGAAGTTAAGATTAATTAAAAATTAAAATAATCTTAAGATTTGATATAGTTTTGAAAAACAAATTTTTAAAATATGAATCAAATTAAATTTAAAAATAATATTAAAAAGAAACAGATTAAATTAAACTATTTCGTCAAAGAAAAAGTTAATGCAGGAATCGGTGCGTAGATACATGTTGAGAGTCAACAACAATTAGTTTCTCATGACTGAACTCTTTTCAACTTCCTCTTTTCGAGTTCTTATGTCCATGATAGATATTCGCAGCATATTCTCTCTATCTTAAAAGGAGGTATTAGTTTTTATTTTTATATGATATTTAAAAATAATGCATATCAGAATATAAGATTTTAGAAAAATATTATAAAAATATGAGAACTCAAAATGGTGAAGTGCAAGTGCATAGATTCATAAAGGAATAAATGTATATACTGATCATGTTCTCAAAATTCCCTTTCTACACCATTCTCTAATACAATAATAATTTATAGTACTTTAGAATTTAAGATATTATATAATGTTACAAATATATGTTTCTAAATTATAAAATATTTTACTGTATACTTTTTAATTTTTTTTTTACATTATTGTAGCATGAAGTGATAGATTTTTACTTAAAAAAGTAAACTTTATTTTAAACTCTAAAATAACAATTTTGTTCAAATCAATTTTTAAAATTTTGAATTTGAATTTTTAGTTTCTAGAATTAGCAATCATCAATCATGTTAGTCTTTATTTTTAAAAAATGTCAAAATTAAGTAATAGAATAATAACATGTCACGTTAAGTAACACGTAACAACTTATTTTGAATATAAAAAAAATGTCATTTTATAATATTTTAAAAATACTTTAAGTCTATTCATATTTTTTAACATTTCAAATAACAGGATCTCTTTCTTATTTTTTACTTCACCTTTTTTTTTTTTTCAGTTATGTCTTCTTTCTTTTGCTCGTCATTGTTGCTATAATGTTCACACTGCAAAGCTCCTTCATTTAGAGGTTGGATTTGAAGGTAGTTTTTGTGAGTGTGGCATTAGAGAAAAATAGAGGTAGTTGAGAAATAAAGTTTTAGTTGATAAAAACTTGAGCTTGTTAGGTTATATTTAGGAGAGAAAAGATGAGATCTTGGGTTGAACGAAAGAAAAAATTGTAAAAAGAAAGAATTATAGAAAGAGAGGAAAAGTGAGGGTACTACAGTGGGAAAAAAAAGAGTAAAACAAATGTCATGAAAAAAGGAAATATCATTGCAATGACAACTAAAGGAAAAGAAGAAAAGGCCAAACAAGGACCTTATTATTCAAAAATAGTAAGGGATGAAAATGAATTATTTTTAAAATATAGTAAAATCTATGGTACCCTTTGTAATTGAAAAGATTTGGTACTCTCTCTTACACGTGGAACAATCTTGACCATTAATTTTATATTAACAGATAATTGAGTTAGTGGTTTAGTTGAAAAAGATATTAATATCTTTTTATGTTTAAGACATTTAAGAAATCATAATCATTGATCTAAAGAGGGTATAAAATATCCTCTCAAGTTTACGGGTACCACAGCAAATACCTTAATATATTATAAAATAATGTTATTTTGTATCCATAATAGACTTTCATGTGTCACTTAATTTGATATGTCACCATTCTAATATTCAATTTTTAATGTTTCTTATTCATAAAAACTAACGTGGTTGACAATTGTTAATTTAGATACTAAATTTTTAAATTTAAAATTTCAAGAACTAACTTTAGTGAAGTTATATATTTTAAGAACTAAAGTGAATGTTTATTAAAAAAAATATTGAAACAAATTGGATAATAGCATCAGTAACAATATATATATATATATATATATATATATATATATATATATAATGAGAAGCACACAGATTATGCATGTTAAATTTATATATTTGTATTATTTAATAAATATCAAATTTTGAATAATATATTTATAAATATTTAAATTATATAAATTTAATATACATGATCATAAAAATAATTTAATAATCAGATTGATTAATTTTATATTATAAAAATTGTTAAAAAATATAAATATTTAAATTTAATATTTAATAATAAAAAATTATATATATATATATATATTTTGATATGTTGTATGAAATTTTATATATCGTTAATAATTTATGAAAAATATAATTTTTATTGATCTGTTAAATTATAATTATATATTATCTTAGTTATTTAAAAATATTATATTACATTAATTGATATATTTAAATGAAGCATCAATTAATTTTAAATTAATCTAAAATTTTATAAATATATATTTTATTTAATAAATTTTTTTAATTGTAGTTTCCAAATACAATTATTTCATAAAAAAAAATTAAAAATAATATATATATATATATATATATATAAATAGATATGTATTAAAAAATATATAAAATAAAAATAATTTTTTAATCGTTAGATTATTTAATTCGTATAGTTAAGATTTAATATAATGTGAATAGATTATATATATATATATATATATATATATATATATATATATATATATATATATATTAGAACTTATGTTGGTGTAATTGTCCTGCAGTGTTGAAATTATATGTTTTCTGCATCGCTAATAAACTGTTGAATAAATGACAGCCATGAAACAAATTAATTCATACATACAAATGAGTTCACAATAGGCCTACAACAAGCATTTGACAGGCGCGACAGAGTTGGAATATTTGCATATTGTCTCAAAGTCTTCAAGACAGTTAGTAATAGCCAAGTTATGTAACTCTTTTAATGTAATTATGAAATGTGACACTTAAAATTTTTAATTAAAATAAAGTGAAAAGCAAGAGACTGACACGTCCAGTCCTCTCCCTCTGGCGCAAAACAGGCCTTTTCAATAGTGATTTTCGTCTTTTGTCAGATTCTATGCTTTTAAGAATATGAAAAGAAGATGACGGAGAAATGAGAAAAAAAGTGAGAAAGGGAGAGGAAATAAAAGGAAGATATACAGAGAGAAAGAAAATAATAGAAAATAGAGTAAGAGAGAAGTCTCTTGTGGGGGCTTCACTAGGATTGGAGTGTCATCTTAAACAAGAGCCCTCTTTTCGGCCAACAATCAAGAGAGTGTGAATCAGCAAATTGTGACGTATAATAACAATGTTAAGGCCCAAACTTTTTTCACCCCATTCTTTTCTAAATATATTAACTTAATTATTGACCAATATATACCTTAATTCTTTTTGAATTTTTTTTATTTTAGAAACATCCTCAGTGTTATTTCTTTTAAAGAAAAAGGTTAAATTTTAGGCTTTGCAGAATTCTTAGAAATTTGATTCTGAAGCTATTGCTTTTCGAAAATATTATTTCATAAATGATAGACCTTTCAAAACATTAATTTTTAAAATTAGTTTACATATACTTCTAAAATTAAATTTCCAAATTGTTATCAAATGCTATTCTGAAAATGGTGTCAAATACAGATGCACAAACAAATTTGAGGGTGAGGTCAAATTTATAACTATTTTCAGAACAAAAGTTGTAAAGGGTCACGCGAGTTAAAAAAAGGTGGTGCAAAAAATATGGACCTAATTTTTTTCTTGTCAACCGCCCAATCTTTAGCATCCAAGATAGAACTCTTATTGGTAGATACTCCTTTCAATCTTATTCATAAGTGAATGCCATTATTTATATATACTAGCCAATACCATATATTATGTATATTCATTTAATCTACAAGTTATCAACTTGACCATTTATTACTGAAATATTTTAAAATACACCGTAAATTTATATCATAGTAACTTTTTATTAATTTTGATAAATTATTTATTTGTTTCTTATTAAAAGGATAAATTGGAGTATTATGTAAAGCCCATAAACCCCATGTAAGTTTAAATCTTTGTTAGCAAGTATCATGCTAGAGTCGACGAGGCTCACTAAAATTACAAAAGGAGAATTGGGGCACTTCCTGCCCTTACATAAAAATTAAAAAAAAAGGAGAAAAAAACTGGTAACAAGTAACCTGCCAAAAAAAGAAAGCTTTTCAAAATTCTATTCTCCGTTCTTCTGACAGTCAATGCTTTCTAAGCCTACTCATGTACTCTGATAATATAATTACAGCTGACGACACCCATCTTAGAGCATACAAAGAATAAAACGAACGGGGCCAAAAAAATAAACACTGAAATAGGAAGCAATATTAAAAAATAAAAAATAAAAACTTAGTGAATCACCAAATGTCATTTATTCAAGTGGCTTCTCAAGATTGGTGTCTTCCTGATCTGTCTGCGAAGTAGGGCCTTTGTTCACATCGTCAGCATTGATGGTTTCAGATTCTTTGGCGCCAGATGTTTCTCCATTTTCCATTTGTGGCAGTTCTCCGTTCTCAGAGACGCTCTTGGATTCTCCATTATCCACCGGTTTTGGGAGTTCTCTTGCAGAGGAGGTCTCTAATAAGCGGCTGATTCCATCATAAACATTCTTTGCATCCATAATAAGAGTTGCTCCACCAGGATAGCAACGCCCAAAACAAGTTGCACAATGAGGATAAGCAACCTATAAATTGAATTTGAAGGTAATCAGTATTATATAGAAAGCCACTTAGATTGAACTAGTGGTGATTGGTGAAGTGCTTGAGCTGTTTGCATGGGGTTATAAGTCCAAACCTCAGTGCCATCATTGTATTGCAAACAAGTGATCAGTATGGAAGTAACTTTAGCAACAACAATGAGCTTAAATTAGAAACAGTTATCAAATTGTATAGTATAGAGTTATAAAATACCTCAATAAATGCTCGGCAGAGTGACAGAAAAAGTCCTGACTCGTTAGCCCTGAGCACCCGAGTTGTATTGTACAGCAACAATGAATCAGAAACAGCCTGTAATCCCTTAATCAATTGTTGGGCAAGGACATGTTTCAGACTTATTGGGGCACACGGACGTAGCTCATTCATTGCAGCAGATACACCTGCAGTCACCAAAGAGATGGATATCAATGCAAATGGATGAAGGCTTTAGAATAGAGGAAGCAGGAATATGCAATAAAGCGTACATACTAAAGCATTATGGCATCACACAATAGACAGCACCTATTGAAATTTCATTTAAGAGGCTTCTTGATACATGACTCAACAACCATGGAAGTTTCCATTCCATTTTGCACTTGTTTCATATGTGTGTGCGCGCATACCCATGTTTTTGTGCATGTCTGTGTGCACCAGTGTAAAATAGGCAAAGGAAATGGGCAAGCAATTTACTAAAGATATCTAGAGGATAAAATTTACTAGACTCACCATTAATAAAAACAGCAAGAGGTGGATGCTCCATCAAATTAGAGGGTGGAGTGACATCCTCCTGACTTTCATCACCAACAGTACTTGGCGAAAAGCCAACTGCTGGTAGGGGGACCCACCGATGCGAATCCAAGACCAACTGAGAAAATCAATTTCAGAATCACTACATCAAAATGGAAACTTGCTTGGGAGAGACAGCGGTCCCCAGATGTTAACTTGTTCGAGTAAAAAGAAAATGATCAATACATAAAAGTCAATTTCAGGTAACTAGTATGTAAAATATGTCAATTCACTGCATTTACCTGAAAATTCTCTACGGCAGTACCCATATTTTTGGAGAATAAGTTGAGGACAGCTCTGTAAAGAAACCATTCATATATTAAAAACTGCTTCCAAGTACAATTTAGCTTAATAGATCATAAAAAGGACCATGCATTACTCTTCGAAAAGTGATGGGAGCAAGCCTCGAAAATCCAGTCCAACCCAACCAAGTCCCATAGCACAGTACTGTTAAAATAATAAGAAAATAGAATGTTAAATGTAATTTCTTCTTTCCATATAAGTCAACATATATATCCAAATGTATTTCCACCTTTAGAAGTAGGACTAGCAGGCAGCAGAATCTAACTGCTTTTCTTTACTTTGACCTATTTTTCCAAGGGAAGGGGGATTGCCAAAAATTACTATGCATTAAAATTTATGTAGTTCACATTTCTTAATCACCTGTTTTAAGTCTACACAAATATCACGATTCCTTCCAATTTCAAAATCACTAGAGTATGACGGAAGAAGCTCACCATGCACTGATCCAAAATATTTGACAGCGATCCACCTTCAGTTATCTTTGGAAGCATAAGTTTTAAAGTTTGTAGGTGTGACGTAATTTGGTGCATTGCCCAACTAAAAAGAAGCCCACCATCGTAATTTTCCTCACTCCCTGATGTGTCATCCGCAAATATTGCACGATATTGATTAACAACATCAAAAAGATGCATTCTGTGACAGTTGATCATCCCTTTTAAGTACTCGTATGGACTTGCCTGGTCCAGCTCCTCAAGTATACCACTAAGCCATGCCTCTCGACATCTTAAGAACTGACAATAAATAACTGGCGAGTCAAATAGAAGCAGGTGAAAAAATAGAATACCAAGTTGCAGCAACTAAACTGAAAAATTCAAGGAAAAAAGCAAGTGTACGGGCAAAAGGAAGAAAGGTTGTATAGGAAAAAAATCATTAAACCTCACCAGCAAACGCATTCCATACTCACTAAATACTCCTATTCGCCGTAAATATCCAATAATGCGGAGGCATTCAGGTAACTAGCAAAGGAAGATAGAGTAGTAAGAAACAATAAATACAAACATTTTTCTTGATAAATCAAGTGGCATTTCTTTGTATATTAAATATAATTACTGCATAAACCTGAATATTTGAGCGAAGTTTCTGTAGAAGCTGAGAAAGAAGTGATTGGGTAGTCAGTCTTACTTCTGCAGCCAATGCTTGAATAACTGGTAACCTTTGCACATGGGAAAAGCTTTCAGTAACAAGAACAAAAGAAAAAAACTATAAAATTGGGAGAGAAAATCCTATTTATAGCTAAATTACTTGTAAATTGCAATACAATATGGAAGAAACATATAAACTTACTTTGGATGCATGGTTGAAAGTTTACCAACAAATGCTTCCAAATCTAGGGCTTCATCATAATTCCCATTCCGTACACATCTGCAAAAACATAGGAATTTACAAGGCTTTTCACAGAGGACATGTTTATCATACTATGTGAGACCATTAGTACATGGAAATCCCACAAGTAAAATTAAATAATCTATCTTTTTTAACATACGTGTCCATGAGTTGAGGAATTTCTAGCAAGTCAAGCAAGGTACTATGATTAGCTAGCATTGTTTGGTTCATCTTCCTCTTCTCCAAAATCTGTTCGGCAGATTCTATGAACTCGGTGCATCCAGATGTTAACTTTGGGATCTCATTTATCTGACAGGAGAAAAATGCTCACCTCACATATGTTTATAAATATACACACATGCACAAAAAATGATGATGACAGAGAAGGAAATTATATGGAATTTTGAGGATAAGGGATTGGAAAATTAAACAACATAGAACAAGATAGAACATCGAAGCAGAGAAGCTGCCTAGTCTCCCTACATATATGTTAAGAGGATAAGGAGCAGGGGATTAGACTTGGACTGGTTTCAGTTATGAACAGACCAGGGTCAGATCAATTGTAAAAACAGTCAACATCGAGCTAGCTAGAAGTCATGATGAATTACGGGCAGAAATGACTACACATCTAATTTACAGTACCAGATTTCTCAAACCTTTTTATGGTTATTGACAGTACCTGAAGACCTCTTGCATCCATTAGTAATTCCCACTCACAATTGGTCTCACATTTCCACGAGGGATTACCCAAAGCTTAAGGCAAGGCCACTATCTTTGTGTTGTGGTAGTGGATTGGCTCACAGAATATGCTCACTTTATACCTCTTAGTTTATCATTTACTGCCTGAGATGTAGCAGAGGTTTCCTTCAAGATCATCATTCTGAAGTCACCGATTTTTTAAATCATTGGCAAGATTGGTATCAGAGCTCCTTGTGAGCTCTGCTGCACAACTCTTCCACCATACCAAGAAATGCAAGTTCATAAAATCAGAATTCTCAAAGTGTTGTTTCTAATTCAATGCCCATGGACCCAACACAAAACTTTTCAAGTCTGCATTATATATATCTGATTGAAGATCCTGCAGCAGTTATGGTAATGCCAGTGTTAATGGGGAGCAATTATCATATGCTTGGGCCAGGTCTTTCAAGCGAGCCATGGTGTCAAAGAATACAATCAGATTTCTTAATGGATGTTTACCTTTGCTGGACAAGTTTGATCCATGGCAACTCTGCAATAATTTGGTAAATCCCTGGATCTAAAGCTAGTCTCACAATCTATCACATAGAGTATAGTGTTTATGAAGAATTCTTTTTATGTTTGGATGAACCTAAAAGAAAGGTTTTTACAAGGACATTCAGTGAGATTTTTACAAGAATTATATTCATTCAACCGATGATCACTCTTAGTAATTGACTATTTGATAGAATCAAAGGTGCTTTAGGAAGAATTAGAAAATTATTGGCTTTTACCACAATGCATTTGTCCAGTTAGATGCACTTGTGTAGTAGTGAGAAATGCTAGAATGTTTAGGCAACAAGGTTGCACTATGCGATTTTGGACAGGATTGAATGAGAATTTCTCAATGGTTAAATCACAAGTTTAATAAATGGATCCTTTACCTACATTGAACAAGTTTTCTATGGTCATTCAGCATGAAAGACAAATATGGATTGAAGGCAATTAGGATTCTCAGGGAACGATAAATGCAGTGGAAGAGAGGTAAGCACAGTGATAATAATTCAGGCAGAGGAGGCCAAGTGTGTATCTATTGTGGGAAAAGGGGCATACAGTGAAAGTATGCTATCGTAAGCATAGGTGTCCACCTGGTCCACGATTTAAATCAGTAGGAGCAGCCAACAATCTCACTGCTGGGAGTTAGAATCAAAGAATGAAAATGGTACTGGTTCAACAAAAGAGTAAAATGTGACTTCAGAACAATCAGTTCTGATGTCAGTACAAATGCTGAGTACTGTAGAAGGTAATCATAACACGTTTTCAGCTTCTAAGCTCGAGTATTTGAGATCTATTTTATAGAATGATGAAAAATTTAATGAGAATACAGAAAGTTGAGTAGTTAAATGGAAAAAGGCACTAGAGTTATCTATGACAGCAAAATACCTATCAAACTCAAAGAAAAGTTTTTTTGAACTATAATACAATCAGCTATTCTTGATGGTAAGGTAATGGATGTTGGCATTTAAAGAAAAATGAGAAAAAAGTAAAAGTAGTAGATATAAGAATATTAAAATGGATATGGATATGTAACTACACAAGAAACAACATGATAAGAAATTATTGTATATGACAGAACATCATTTAAGGTGATTTGAACATGTACAAGGAAAATGACTTAAGGTACTAGTGAGGAAAGTTGATTGTATGACTTTTCGCTTTGTGAAAAAGACTAGAAATTACCTTGAAAGAAATTATGAAAAAGGATCTTATGGTAAATAACATCTCTAAAAAGTTGAATTTTTATTGAACCCAATAACATTACTGATCTGTGTTACTGACTTCACCAAGTGAGATAAGGCAATGTTATTGTTATTGTCTAAACTTTTGAAATCACTTTATGAAATGAAAAAATGAAGCTATTCCCAAACTTCCAGCAGCTCTCAGCTCTGCAGTCACAGGTTCAGTTCCCAGTCACAATTCCACTCTATGGCACTTTCATTTTCATCATGTTTCTGCTCACAGACTTGCTGTTTTGAATAAAATTGAACTTTCTATCACTGTTAATGATCATCTAGTTTGTGAAATTTTTCATTGTACTAAACAAAGAGAATTCTGTGTGCTCTAAGTAATAATAAGCTGCACACGCTAATTGCTTCATATGGATAGGGACCCTTTACTGCAACTATACATAAATTTTGGTATTTTCTCACTATAGTGGATGAGTACAGTAGGTTTACTTGGGTAGTAGTTATGAAGACTAAATCTGAAACTTCGCATCATATTCATTTATTTTCATTGATTTGTCACACTATTTGAAAATCAATTTCATGCTTCCATTAAGGTTGTGAGGACTGGTAATGGAGCAGAATTTTTCTTGCATTCTTTAAATACTTTTAAAGGGATATTATATCAAACAACTTGTTATCAAACTCCACAACAAAATGGTAGGGTGGAGTGGAAGCATCAAGATATTCTAAATGTGGCATGGACACTTTCTTTTTGATCTGACACTCCAAATATGTTTTGGCGATATGCTGTCACACACACTGTATCTGCTCAATAGAGTTCCTACTAAGACAGTTCTCAATCATTCCCCATTAGAGTTATTGGGTGACAAGCTTCCTAATTTTGATCATCTTCAAGTATTTGAATCTTTATATTTTATTTCTACACTTGCTGGACACAAGCAAAAATGATACTCAAGCTCATATCATAAGTATATATTTCTTGGATATAAGACTGGTACCAAAGGATATTTGTCCTATGATCTCTCATCCAAGGAGATTATAGGATTATAGCATCAGGGGTTCATGACATGTCATATTTCATGAATTAATATTTCCTAATTCTACTTGTTCTGTCTTTAGCCCTTCTTTGACCTATGATTCAGAATCTGTTCCTTCTTCATCAGCACCTAATCTTTCTTCTTCCCCAATTCCTACTTCATTTTCACCTCTATTTCCTACTATTAACCTCGCAGATCTACTATTGCAGTTCGAAACCTTATCATTTAGACGATCACTGTTATACTCCATTTCTCAAACTTCCTCCCATATAAATAGAGTAGCAATTGTATTGGTGGGTCAGTTGAATAATCAATGCTAATCTATTCAATCAGAGTTTATTCTTCTTTAGATGAAAGATTTTGGGGAATTTAAGAATTCCTGGGAACCAGTTGCCACTATTTAGAATTTTTTTCCTGAATTTTTCCTTGAGGACAGGGTGAAATTTTTGGAGTGGAATGTTATTAGCAGATGCCCAATTAAAAGTTGTGCATTTGGATGGACAAGGGAGAGCACAGGGTATTAGAACTTGGGTTGGTTTCTGTCTGTAATAACAGTAGCAGTTGGTTAATTAATCATAAGTCAAACAACTTAGAGGAGAGAAAGAGACAGCAAGATGACAGAGGTATAAATAATGGGAGAAAGATCTCTATTCTTGTTTCTAATTTTTACTCTTGGTTCTGCAACCATCGTGATTCAGATTGAGGAGGAGGAGCGATATTCTGCCAGTCCTTTACTCCTCTCTAACCCAATTCTACTACTAACCTCCTTACAAAGACAATAGACTTTACACTCAGTCGAAACTAATACCCTAATCTTATCCCAATCCAATGAAATGTTCCTATAAGATATAAACCTCACACAATTACCCTCCAACAAGCTACATCTCAACCATTTCCTTCAGATACATGAAATAGTGAGTAAGAATCAGGTACATGTATGCTTGAATTTAACAAAAACAAAAAAAATGAAGAGCGAGAATACCAGAGACTCAAGATGGTTGTCGATAGATGAGACTTCCTGGCGAATTGCAATTAAGGCGTCGGCGGCGGCAATGAAGGATCGGTAGTTACCCACGGCGACCTCTTGCATTTGGCGGCGAATGCGATCAGCATCGACGCGAAGGAGTTCAGGTTCCTTGTGAAGGCGATCGAGTGTGAAAGATAGCAATTCGGAGACATAGGGTTGTTGTGAATCTGATGCCAGAGGAAGAGGAAGGACCATCGCCGATGCTTCACCTTCCGACTCCATTTTCCTATGCTCAGATCTGGATCCACTCAAACCTCAGTTATTTCAGTTTCACTCTCTCCTCTCAAGTATACTATTGCTGCCACCACCCTCTTTCGATCTTAAACTGCCCTGTAGTTTCCAGACAAAAAATAACTACGCGCTGAGCCGGAAATTTGATTTTAGATAATTTTTTTTTTCTTTTCTATAGAGTAAAATGTAACATTGCACCCAGACGAAGAAATAGCATAAAAAATAGTTTATTTTAATAAATTATATTAAAAATTGATTAAATAAGTTAATAAAATTGATAAAAGTCTAAATTGTTGGCTTAATTCCAATTTTTATCCCTTTATTTTAAAGAGTAACAAATTCATCCCTCTATTAAAAAAAAATAACAATTAAGACACAATTATTAAATATTTTTCGAAATATCATACGATCATACTTACGAATATTTTTTTAGCATCTTTGATTTAAATATTTTTCTTATAAATATTATTATTTTTTAAAAATATTTTTATTTACTATGATAATTAATACATTTTATTTATATTATTGACTAAATTTATGTTTAGTTAAATATTTAAAATAAAATAAATAATACAAAACAACTATAATATGAAAATGTATGAGTGATAAGGGTTATAAAATTTAATTATAATATAATTTTTAATTATAATAGCAAGTTAACAATAAAAAGTTTGAATAAACGATGAAAAATATAAAAGAAAATTTTAAAAAAATATTCTTAAGAATGTTATTTTTAAAAAGAAAAAATCAAAATATTTATGCCAAACATACTCTAACTTTAAGATTTTAGAAAATTTAATTGAATCCCCGTTCCAAAAAATCCCATTAAGTTCAAAAAGGTAACATTGTTAAAATAATTTAACATAATAAAATTAAGGATACTATTAAGCCTCCTTTCAATCTCCTTTATTTTTTTCACCTTCAATCTCCCTCTATCTTTTAATGTCCTCATCCTTTTTTTTTTTTTTAGAGAATGTAATAATTCTTTGTATATGTGTTCACATAATACTTTTTTTTTCTTTTAATTTCATTTTATACACGTTTGGTAATTGTTACATGCCACTATAAGTTTAAGATTTTTTTTTCTGTTATTAATTTTTAAAACTTTTTCTTATATTGTCCAAACACTATATGACATCATTTTGATTTTCTTTTTTACAAATATATTTTTGATTTTTCTTAAAAAAATAACTTAAAAAAACTTATGACTTTAAGTTTTAATACCTACTCGTGTAAAAGATAAGGGCACACTTGAGATTACGTTGTTACTACATCTTTGTTAATTGTTCTATTAATTCTTTAATTTTTTAGAGCTTGCATTTTTATTTGACTAATTATTTTTTTTTAAAAAATAACTGAACAAAAATAATATATATTTTTATTTAATTCTATTTATACATATAAATAAAGAATTTTATAATTATATGAAATCTTCTTCTATTTCTATATTTATCAAGGATACAAAGAAAATCATATGAATAGATTAACAAGGTTAAAATAATCATGAAAAGAGAAAGAATAGATCAATAAATTTTGGTTTCATTGTTAAAAAAAAATTAAATTACAAGAAAATCTAATCTTACACTTTACTTTAAGAAGATCTCGTTTATACTAAGATCTCAAGCATTTTCAACCTATGACTTATGACTTATAACTGAAGTTGTTTTGATAAGACAAAAATGATGTTTTAAAAAAAAATAAGTATTACTATTCATTCATTTATCAAAAATGACAAGACAAACTTGGAGGACTTTCATTCATTAGATATGAACATTCTTATCAAAGTAGCTATATTTTCTTAAAGGCATCTTAGATTCAAATAAGATGCAAAACGAGTAATTTCTGACTTCACCAAATCTTTTCCTTTAGTGAAATATTGTAATAAAGAAATAAGATCCATCCATGAATAGATGTATGTTGTAATTTTTCTACCTTTTAGAATTGTCTCTTCATGAATGAGTATCTTCTTCTCAAAGTCTTCTAACATCAAATCAATGCAATGTGCAGCATAAGGGGTTTAATACAAATTTTTTCTTTTTTTCATCAACATCTCTCTTGTAGCTTTATAATTTGTTGCATTATTAGTCATAACTTGGACTACATTTTTCCTACCATTCTTTTTAACAACATCACCAAGCATTTTAAAGATTTTATCAATTATTTTTTCTATATAAGATGTATCAATGGACTTAAAAAAAATAGTTCCTTTAAGACTATTTACCAAAAAGTTCAATATTACTCTTCTCCTCTTATCAGTCCACCTACCAATCATTAATGTGCATCTAATTGTATTCCATTTAGCTTTATGTTCTTCTAACCTTTGCCTTGTCAACTCTATTTCCTTTTTCAAATACTTTACTCAAATCTCATGATACCTTGGTAGTTTAAATCTAGAACTATGACTAGTAATTATATCACATATAACAAAAAAATATCACTTCTTACCACATTAATAATAATAATAATAATAATATTTATAAACTTTCCTATTGCTTGACAAGCCTCTTTTCTTCTAGTTTTGTTGAATATGTTGTTGATTATTACTTGGGCAGTTGCACCCCTTTTTTGGAAAATATTTCTTCCTCTAGATACCTCATTTTTACTTGATTTTCTTTTATTTCCACTAATGTATCTAAAGTATCCCTCTCAATCTCCTAGTCAGCAAAACAACCGACACTCGAATTTGATTGTTTTATTCAACTTTTCTTGTATGCTTATAAGTAAGTTCCACATTCCTTTCTCACCTCATTTGGAATAGATTTGCATGCTCCAACATCTTTAGTTGTTTGAGCCAAGTGATGCTTCAATTGATAAATAAGAATAGAAATATGTTAGATTTACATAAATAGGTCCAACCTATTTAATAATTTAAAGCCAAAGTTTGACCTATTATCTATCGTAAGTTTTTTATTAAGCCTAATCTGGCCTTTTTAAAAGTTTACTTTATTTTATTATTTTTTTAATAGCCTACTTCATATTGAGACCTTCAATAGGTCATTAAGATTCCTTATAAATAGGCTATTAAACCATCTAAATTGATGTCTTTATAAAGTTCATAAGAATTAGATCTAAATAAGTTATAAAAAATTGTTTAATACCTTGAATATGTATAATAAAGTTACATATTTCTATTTTACCAAAAAACATAATCAAGATAGTGCAAATGCAACTTAGCGTTATGCATAAAAACAAATAAAATAACAGTAATATAAAAGACTTTAACAAGTAGGACTTTTTCTCTTCAAAGGTATAGGAATACCCTTTAACTCTAATAAAAATTATTATAGTTATAATTTAAGATTTTATTTATTTTAAAATTTAATCTATTTAATATATTATTATATTATAATTTTGATATAAAATAATTTAATATATTGTTATAAATTTTATGAATTTTAAATAGTCTATTCTAATAGTCCTAATATGCTTTTTCTTAAGCTCAAATCTGACCTATTTAATTAATTCAGCCTTTTAAAAAGTCTAAATTAAGTCTATTACTTAAATAGGTCAAGTCGGATTAAGCCTTAAAAAGGCTAAGTCATAGGCCTCTATCAGACAGTCTAACTTATTTTCATCCCTACTAATAAGCACCTCCACTTACAAGTTTTTTTACAATATTTGCATTGGACTCTTCTTGTGCCTTCAATTACAATCCCATGTTGCCATGCTACATCACTCTTGTTTCTTGATGCATTATTTGATAATGACTTAGAAGGAGAAGTCTGACTATTGGTTGAAGCCATTTTATCAAACAGTAGAGCAAAACATTTGAACAAACACACCCATAACAAAACACAACAAAGTACAAACTCATCCACAATTGCACAAAGATGATGAAGATTAAAAAGAAAAAATAAAGCAAAGAAAACCCTAATCATAGTGTAAACCTTATTTGTAGAACAAAACCTAGTGGTAAAACAAACTCCAGTAACAGAACATATCTAGTCGCATAGCAAATCTCAGTTGCCATATCAAAACCAAGTCACTGGAACAAAGCACAATCGTTAGAGCAAAGCAAAATTAAGTTGTGTGGAGTGGAATGAAGTCATAGAGCAAAGGAAGTTCTGATTCAATTTTTGGGATTTTAGGATTTCAATAGCTTTTTAGCAAATTGGGCCGCGGGTCATTAGGGAAAAAAATTAGGTTTCTTAATACATCGGGATCGTCCAAGCTTATTGATTTTACAATCCAGCTCAGCAATCCCTCCTGATCCTGGTGATTTGTGTTTTCAAGAGTGAGCTAGCACAAAAGAGTAGTCAGAGATCATAAACTCATACAATCTTATGTTCTGGCATGTAATTTTGACTATCATACATGTTCTATTGCTATATATAACATTACAAATTAAATATACTTTGGTTATTGTCATGTGTCTAATAACCTATCCAAAAGTAGCTTTTGATGTGTATCCAAAATAAGTTTAACCGACATTCTTGGTTAATATATTTCAAGAAGAATCAGAATTATGATTTTTCCCATTAGTTTCTCCAATGGTGGGACTATTTTGGGCCAATTGAAGAAATCCTTCCTACACCTGTCAAAGAAGGATACAAAATTTATAAGGGAAGATAGCTGCGAGAATCAGGAATTCCAGCAGACCTCAAATACTTCTCCGACTTTGCCTTAGCATGGGTATTCTTATGGCAGTATAGATACGGCAAGACAGAAAATGAAGATACTCTTCCATTACTCCACAGATATTCTTTTGTGAAATGGTGGAATCAATTCAATGTTGACCATGCCGGTCCAGAAGGTGTTGCTGAATATTTTGGCAAGAATCCAAAATTATTAAATTTAGCAGATCCAGCAACATTTCAATTCCTAAACTAGAAATCAAAAACTGCAGCATTTTTATCAAGCTGTGATTCAAAAGAAAAGATGAAGAAAAATTTGCAAGATGTTCTTCTTCTCTTACAAAGCCAAGAAGAAGGAGAATCTTCTATAAAACAAGATACCAATATAGAAGAAATGTATCAAAATGAAGATGACTGTTTCGGCATTGACATCCGAGAACTTTAAAACCGGTACTGTAGTAAATAGTTCCAGTTATCAACCGGAACTGTAGAAATAGTACTCAATTTTTTCTTTAAA